TAAAGCTATATAGCCAAAATTTTCTGCGTGCTGACGTGTCAATTTCCCATATTCTTTTGAGGTATATGATATTAATATTTAGTATGGAACACTAAAATGCATATCCATTTACTGTTTTAAGTTTTGTCGGAGATCCACGAAGTGAGAATATGAAAAAAACTCGCAACAACGCACATGTTTCAAACCTAACTGGGGGTTTTCGAGGTTAGAGGGTGGATTCGGTCTCTAATACAAGCGCAGAACAGAAAAAAAAACTGATGTGAAATATATTAATGAGGGGGAAAATAAAAAATGGACAAAAAAATAAAAATGAAAAAATAAACTCGGGAAACCCCGGAAAAAATGACGACTCGATCTATCAAATATTCTTTCTGTTCTTGAGACCTGTCACGCGGACCTCTTGGTATTGTGTTTGATGGTATTAGTGTTCTGTTCCACGTTTTGCGTCATTTAAGCACCCCTTTTCGATGTTCAATACTGTTAATTTCACTCCGGTGACAGCGATGAGCTCAGCACACCGACTTAGCGGAATCGAAGCGAGGCTCATATTTTATTTTTTCTGGCGCTCACGTTCCGCGCGTCTTCTCCATAAAATTTTCCTCTGTTTTTGATGGTCAAATTAATGAGCCCAACGATTCGACTTGTGATATTGCAGGCTTTTGTTACATTTTACTGCAGCCTAAGAACATTAACCGTTTCAAATCAGCGACTGTTTTAGCGATTTTTTTTGCCTCCTCCGAATATGTTCTGAAAATTTCAGACAAAAATATAGGAGGTGACACGATAAAGGTGGTAGGTTGTTTCGTGTTTTATTTCCCGTACTAACCAAATTTTTGTGTTGAAATTTCCCTCTGTGAAGCTCTGATTACGGCTCCTACACCTAACTTAAGGACTCTGAGCTCGGCTAGGACAATATGTGTATTATAAACCTTAATTACGGCCTCCAGTGCCGGAGCTAATTTTTGAGTGTTATAATTAATTCTCATCATGATTATTTTCATAATGCCATGGGTAAATTTTCGACGTGCGTGTCAGGTGCTTGAATCGACTAAATTTATAACGCAGTAATGGTTAAAACTCTACCGAAAAAAAGGCGGAAAAAATCTCTCTTTGAAAAAGAAGGATGAAAAAAAATTCAGAAAGAATGCCGGTAGTGCTATCCACTTACATTATCATCATGTTCCCGTCATTCGATTGGTTCATTTTCATTATGAAGCGAACCTCTGTGCAGGGGAAAAAAAACCGCCTGATGGTGGCACGCCTGGTGATACGACGGGCGCAGCGTGATTTGGGTTCATGGATTATGGCACTAGCCATAACAAACAGAGAAAATAATGGGCCTAAGTTTGGAGATCAATTTGTAAACAGTTGCTCCGGCCCTTTATCGACGGAGGGTAGCCCGCGGACCGCCGCCGCGTTACGCCACGAAGCAAACCACCCTTGATGCCAAACTTCAAATCAATATCTTTATTAAATCGCGTGCGATAAAATCGAAAATTCATCTCAATATATCACGATTTTTTGTTCGAAAATAAGGTACGCAGTCGATAAAACCGCAATTTTATGCGATGGAATCACAGTTTATCGCAATTTTTTATCCCGCAAAATTGCAACCAGATCGACGGTGATAAAATCGCAAAACGTTCTCCGATCAAATCGCAACTTATTGCGATCACTGCTACCTGGGTATCTCTCATGTGCTGCTTTTCTTTGTAAAATTTTAAACAAAATGTGCAATTGCATGAAATTTTCAAGAGGGAAAACGTATTCCGCCAATTATAATCCTAATCTGGTCCAGAAACCTTCCATATAAACTCAATCGCCGTTTCAGTTTCAGCCGAAGTACTCTCTTTTGCTCTCTTGCAGATTTGATCCAATCCACCGTATTTTTCTTCACTGGAAAAAAAAACACATTGGATCTAGAGTCCAGACTCTTAAAAACATCGACAAGAAAAAATAATCTTGATTCGATCAGATTTAAGCTTAAAATCTAATTGAATCAAGAGTCCTTTTTCTTGTCAATGTTTTCAAGAGTCTGGACTCTAGATCCAATGTGTTTTTTTTTCCAGTGTAATCCTGACCCGGTCCTGTAACCTTCCATAAAAACTGAATCGCCGTTTCAGTTTCAACGGAAGTACTCTCTTTCGCTCTCTTGCAGATCTGATCCAATCCACCGGATTTTTCCTTGATTCCCTGCAAGATAAGAGCAATTCATGGAAATTTGGCAGTGTTGTCGGTTGAACGGTGGCCAGCGAACTCCCAGTTGCGGAGTCTGGGCGCAGTATCTTGGAGATGTTTACAGGCTCGGCTGATCATCTGATGAACCAGTGAGCACGGACAATGCCCGCCAAAGGGAGTGATGCATCTGCAGATTAGACCATCCCGGCGAGCGCTCATGTGGAAGTATCACCACTTCAAATGCGATCCTGCCCAACATTTATTACCCTTACATTCCGCATAAACCGCCTCCCTCCTCCTATTGACAATTTTTTCTCTCCTTTTTTGCCTCGGGATTTATGGCCAGCCACTTGAGGCCGGCGGCCCGTGTCCCTCGAAATTTCAAAGGCCCCCGGGTTAATGGCTTACAGTGATTTTTGAGGGCTCGGAAAAACGAGCTGTGTATGATAGCATCGATTCGGGACGTTTGAAGTCGTTTAGAGCGGTGTTGACACCGCCATCTTCATGGCGTGTTGACAATACAATTAGACCTGGTGGGGAGCAGATTTTGCGGGCATGTGCTCCGTGCGTTTTAAGGACTTAATCTGATCTGAGAATCCTGGAGGGAATTTTATACATCCTTCGCTGTCTTCATTAAATTGGCTACAGCATCGTCTTGCTTTATCCATCAGTCTTTGAGCAAAGGATCGCCAGCAGTTACACTTCAGAGGCATTCCCACCGATGGCGATTCTGGGAAGTTGGCAGCACTGTCTACTAGAGATGTCTGTAGAAGACTTCGTTATTTGATGAAAACTTGATGCTTAACATAAAGGACAAAAGTGTCAGGGATCCAATAAAAGTGGCTTTATTTTAGAAAAGACAGCAAAACTCTATTTTCCAAAAAGTCTTTGGATAAGACTGCACCTATGAATGAAAGAGATTAAAAAAAATTGGGAAAAAATATTGATTGAGTTTGATACTTCAAACTGCCGTTCAGTATTTGAAAAATGAGAGCGGGAAAATAGATAGAATACAATTTAAAAAAAAGAAAATTACGATAATCATTTTTACATAAAAAAAAAATGCTTAGTGCGCTTCTTATTTCAGGCGAGTTAAACCATCAATCTGTTGGAACTAATTTCGACATGACAAGACACGACGCCGAGACATCCTTGTCTCCGATGCACGTGCTATGAACGTCTGCCGTCTAGAATCAACTGCCCAGACACCGTCTCATCCTACCTGCTAAGCAAAAATCACAAAACGGTGGGCCTCACATAATGCAATTGAGTGGTTCTTGCCTAACGGAAGAGCTGGTGTCAGGATGACAGAGACACTCGTTAAAAAGCAGCTCCACGGTTGACGTGACGAGATTCAGACCAGCTTCGTCGCGTGGCAGCAAGTTTGGGTGACACATTACTGGTTCATGGACCAGACAAATGGTCAACCACGCCTCAGCTCCACTCCGCAAAAATGCCATACCTTGTCACAACTGGCTCCATTTCGGCCAAGCTGATGAGAAGTTGGCGCCCTCCGGCAGTGGCGTGGCGTGCTTTGCGATTAATCGATTGATCTACCTATAGTAAACCTACGGAAAAGGATCGATTAACAGGGTGTTCGCGACACCTTAATAATCGATTTTTTACCGTACCTTTAAATAAGCAAATATTGATAATGGACCTGTTGCAAACTTTTGCTAGAGCAAAAATAAGAGTTGTTTCTAGTGGATAATGCCTCAAAAATCACGATGAGCGCATCGGCAAAGTCTGAAATGCACTCATAACTTCACAATCTNTTTTACAGTTTACTCTGCATCAGCCATTTTTACACGCGAATCTATACCACTAGATGGCTTGTTACATCGCTGACTTCAAAAATCATTTAAAAATATAAAAACGCAAATTCAGCTGAATTGAAACCCTTGACGCTAATTCCTAAACGTTCCTTTCGACACTCAGAAAGCTTCAAAGAATTTAAAAGTAAGAAATTTAAATGATTCATTAAGAAAAATTTGTTCTCTCCCATAAGAAAAGCATTGTTTCCGACATTTCTGGTTTTCGCGGCAGTAATGCTGACGTCATGCGCAGAAGATTCTCATTTGGGTTTCGGGAATGACTGACCTATATGGATGGATCTTGCCTCCGGCAGTGGCGTGGCGTGCTTTGCGATTAATCGATTGATCTACCTATAGTAAACCTACGGAAAAGGATCGATTAACAGGGTGTTCGCGACACCTTAATAATCGATTTTTTACCGTACCTTTAAATAAGCAATTATTGATAATTGATCACTAACGGCTTGCCACTGCCCTCCGGATAAAAGTCCTTTTACGTAGATCAATGGGACAGCTTTATGCAATAAGGATAGGGTCAAATTTTCGATTCTTTTTTTTTAATGATGAATTCCGTATCAGGAGGATATTTACTTACTATTGAGAAAGAGAAAATCCTCAAAAACGATTTTTATCCCGCTTCAGCGACCCCGGAAAAATTTGCCGTCGCAGGATCACGAGAGGTTCATTTTGCCATTTTTGTTTCGTTAATGTGATAAGCTTTCGAATTGTGAGAAGTTTCCATGAGGTTTTCATTCGTCCAATTCATGATCTTGGTGTAAGTGTACAGAGTCCAACTGAAGAAGGCCAGAGAGGAACCAAGAAAAGTAAGTGTTTTCATCACGTTTGTATTAATATGTATAGGACGAAAGCGTGGACAAATCTAGGTTGCTGTTTCAAATAATGCCGTCACGTGCATTTCTCAATTATTGGCTGAAACTAAGAAACGCATCGAACAGCTGAGTTATCACATGTGTTTTATCACATATGTGATTTTAAGCATCAGTGATTAATATTAAGTAAGCAGAAGTCATGAATTGCAGCTTGTCTCCTTGTCATTCTTGTATGTACTTTGTAGCTGGTTTATAATCACATAGACCTATCAGAAAGTTCAGTACTCATACTTTGTGTCTCAATGCTGTGTTTCACACTCCTTTTCATTCAAATTCATTCTCATCTCTTTCTGTAGGTGAAAAAAATGAAAACCATTGGTTTCAAATGGATATAAATTATGCACATTCAGTGTCTCTTTTCTTGCCTTTGAAAAAGTTTTCTCCTGAACAAACCTCCTAGCCATGTATTCATAGCAGTTTTAATCTTTTTCAGCTCTGATTAAGGAATTCCTGAGATGGACGGTTACAATTTTTTCCCGCACCTAACTGCACCCATACCTCTGCCTGAAAATGAGGTAATGTATAATCTATTAGGAGCCTGAGACGGGTTGAGAACCAACGTCCTGGGCTCTTTTCTTGCCCTCTTTATTTATGTTATGAAAGATTGAAAAGAAAACTAGTCTTAGTTAAGGAAACTCTTAATACTACATCGACTAGGAATCACAGAATCCTGCATGGTGTAGAGAAGGTAACTTAGAAGTTTCAGTTCTTTTAGATGCCTCATCAGGCTCTTCGGTATGCTTGCTAGACTGAAGTAATGAGAGGCCTGATATGAACCATGTCTTAAGTCCTAAATTCTCTTTATCTCCGTGGGAAGAAGCATGTACTTGGATATGTTTTCCTTAAACTTTGTCAACAAATTGTATCTGTTAAGGACGCTGAAATCGACGTCATGACCAGCCAGCTTGTCTGGTATGGTCATGTCATTAAAATGACGGACGAAAGGCTGCCGAAGAAGATGCTTGATTGGGTTCCTCCTAGGAGGAGACGAAGGGGACGCCCAGTGAAAGGGTGGCGACAGGGGGTTTAGAAGAGATGAGGGTTTGCCAACTCCCTGAGGGGCTTTGGAAGGATAGGGGACTTTGGCGGCTAAGTGTCGCAGAGCACCAGAGAGCGCTATGAAAGCGACTTTTTACACACATACGGGAAAAATTCCTACCGCTAAGGTGCCAATACCGGATGACTTTATAACCGCTAACCGAAGAGAGAATAACCCATGCAACAACACAGGCTGCTTTGATGGATGGGTAAATGTGGTTTTTTTTCGTATCGTGCATGTATTTACATTTACAAATTATTAAGTTAAAAAATGTACCCTCTCTACCTGGACTTTGTATTGTATTGTATTATTTGTTTTGTGCCTTCTCTACCTTGACTTTGTATAATTTGTTTTGTGACAAATCTACAATAAATAAATTATTATAATTATATTATTATTATTAAAATGGGGAGAAAAACCACGGCAAAAGACTATGTCCAAGCAAATTCCAATAATTTGCCCGAGGTAGATTCAATTTGCCTAAAAAAATACTTCAAGAACTCAGATTTTCTGGCTCCTGCAATGAAACATTTTAAGACCGAAAGGTAAATAAAGTTCATCCTTAAGTTTATTTTATTCCGTAAAACTTTACTTAAAAGAATCACCATTATACCGTGAAGAAGCTTCAAATAGTGAAAACTAAAGGGCCCGGGATTATTAAAACCGGGAAGGTTTTTTTCCCGTGATGCTGAGGTAAGTTGAAACATATTTTCCCCCATCGCGATTCCGGAAAGGGAATGCTCATGAGCGTTCTTGTTGTCTTGTGCCGCGTCGCCGAAGCTGTGCAGTCCGCTTTACAAAGAATTAAAATCCTTTGACAATGGTTTGCGTCGCCAAAGCTCCACCACTCTAGTTAATCACCTCGCTTTCCCACTCCGAATCGAGGTGACATATTTCATATTTTTTCCATCGGGGCTTCAATAATAATCAGGCTCCGGTCCCCGCCCTGGCGTCTTTTCACCGAGCAAGACGGTTCCGCTATTCAAATGCCGGCTCTCGATTTTTAATCAACCCTGAGAGACCCCGCTCCACAAAAGCTCGGGAAATTCGTCCCCGGGAAACTCGCAACTCCGACGCGGGGAAAAAAGCGAGGTCGGAATAAATAAATAAATCGGGATAAGATATGGAAGCGAGAACAAAGATGACGTCATCATAATTTCCTGCTGGCACAATCGAAACGATTCCTATATCTGCGCATCCATCATGCAGGCTTTCATCCCGGGCTTTTGTTTCGGGCGCGGTGACTGGTGAGCCCCGAAATCCGGGCGCCGCTCTCGGCCCGCGGGCCACGAGATACGAGCCTCGATGATAAACTATATGCAGCACGCTGCGAAATATCAATGACATTGTTAGTTCGTCGCTGTTTTAAGCACAGAGGTGTATATTGTTTGCGAGCGACAACAATAGTGGGGTTACTTCCGGACCGGTGACCCGCAACAATCGCTGGATTCTGTTTACACCGGTGGGCTCAACAGCGGAGGCTGGTGCGCAGCCACCGTTGCTAGCTCCCCGTCAAAATTCGCCTCCTTTACATTGATTTTAACGGGGGGATCGGAGAATTTCCAACGCTGTGCGCGGTAGCCTCGGCGCGACCAGGCACTCGTCTAACAAATGAGCTCTGCAGGCGCAATTCAAATATACGTTCATTAAAACGATGACTCCCGGGCCAAGAGGCACTAATCTCGTTTTCGGCTATACTCGATCAATCCCGGCCCCCACCTCGTCCGGCCGCCGGAGCGCCCCCACCACGCTCGCGGCCGCCCCGCCTACAATTCGGCCGAGTATGCAACCCGCAGCGCAGCGGCCCCCGCCCGCTGTCGGCTCGGCAACCCGCTGCGGTGGGAAGTCACGCTGGCGGCTCACCTCGCCCTCTCGCCGGGCCCGGCCGCTAACCTTGTGACTATGAATGCCCCGAGTGGACTTCCAACTTGCACTTTCGATAAATGAGGGGCCCGTAAATGGTGGAACTATCCAAATTGCACTTTCGGCGCCTGGCTCCAACCCGCGCTGCTTCTGGTCTCGTCGGCTTTTGATTTTTCTCATTATCCTCTAATCGGTGTTTGTCGAGGCTCACACTTTATGATCTCGTCTCTTTTTACCCCCCATCCCGCTTCCCTCCGTTCTCCTCGATGAAATTATAATCACTTCGATGTGTGAATGAGCTTTCATGAGGTTAGCCCTCTCAAATGACGCCGCTCTTCATCACATCCGCGTCGCTTTTCATTGACTACACGAATATAAAATTAACATTGTCAACAGCTTTCAGCTCTTCGCTGCAATACTTTAGTGAAGATAAATAATTCCGCAATATTTTGAGATTTTCGTTTCTTAAAGCATCATTACGGATCTCGAGAACTGGAGCGATAATCGCTCTACTTTAGATGATTCTTTGATGTAACACCTTACAGATTGTTTTTAATTTATTGTTAAAAACAATTTTTGACGTATAATTGGGGTAACGATATAATTTATGTATTTATTATCTCAGAAAACTAGCTGTGTTAAAAGTTACTTTTTGCCGCTGAGGTTCAAGGCCAAATTTTCAAGGTAATTTTAAAGGTAAATTGCTATCATATACATGCTGTTCATGTTAGATATGCAAGACGTTTTTATTTCGTTTGATTCAGAAGGGGTCCAGGTTGGGTTTCGAAAATATCGGAAAATCAGTATCGTATTGATCGGCAAGTGAGAAGGCAGTCTTCGAACCAAAGTTAACACTTTGGAGGGCCATATGTTCCAACTCTTACGGAAGACTGACATTTAGGCCAAGCTCCTGAGTAACCGGTCGATAAGCCGAAGAATCCAAAACAGCTGATGAGGCCAAGAAAGAACCAAGAAAAAGCCTCATCCAATAATTTGGATATTCTGAATGACTGCGGAGTTCAGCATTGGACTGTAGTCTTGAAGCCTCTAAGGGCGAGCCTCAAAAAAATGAGCGTTGCTACAATTCGACAATCTCCCAGCAGTAAAACAATCTTGCTGAACTTGCTTGACGGATTTCTGGACAATCCTAAACCAATGTCGGCCTGGCAAACTCTTCAAGGATATTAGGGTGTTCCAAATGGCAACATTGCAAGGGGGATAGGCTCCAGGGCAATTTTCCCATTTCTTTTGGCCTCAGGAGTGAGGAAAAAAAATCTCAGTCCCCAAATCGGATCCTACACCTTGCCCCTGGGCCCTTACTGTTTTTGAAATTCAGCATATTTTCGGTATTTTTCGTCTTTTTTAAATATCTTTATTTTACATTTAAAGGATAACAATTGACAAAAGTTATAAGTTTTTGGTCATAATATGATCCCTAGAAAGTCACCAAGTTCAAATGGGTACCTTTTGACCCTATGCATGGTTGCCAAATTCAGTTAAAAAACAGCCAAATGTCTTAAATAACAAGGAAGTTAATTTTTTAGGAAAAGCAAGGAAAAGTAAATAATGTGTCCAAAAATCTTCATAAGTTCTTCAGGACACATTTCCTAAAGGTAGGGGTTTTTTTCCTGCAATTAGAGCAACGTCTGGGCAAAAAGGTATTTTATTTGGCTTGCAGGCACCACGTGTTTGAGCTTGTTGAAGGTGCAGTTTGGAAATCCGTCTTTGGTGAATCAATGAGCCCTGATAATCAGCAATTCAAAGAATTCCAAGCAGCATGGAAGAATATTCAATTAAGACTTTAATAATTTTAAAGTGCTAGTTATCAATGATCGCAAATTAAAATCCCTCCGGATTGAAATTTTTTCATTTCTTAAATTGGTTTTACGTCTAAATAAAGAAGCCTTGCTCCGAGGTGACTACAAAGAGTGTGCTGAAATCATGCTTATTTTACTGAGTGAAACTTCAAGTCGTGGAATCCATTGATTAAAACCTGGTGCATTCATCAAGGATATCCTTAGGATATGGCAGAACGGACCAAACGAGAAGCTGTTTCTCTACTAGCACAAAGTAAAGACCACGACATGGAGAAATTGGCTTCACGCTGCTCTTGAAAGTACAAAGTCATCTGGTGACGTAGATTTAGCTTCACTTTTGGAGAGTGTTCCAAAGAATCCTGTTACTGAAATTAAAGATAAAATTGTTGCCCAAGGTGTAAGCTCCATCCCATTGTCTAAAATTGAGGCACTTGCTTTCAAATTGTCACTCATTCAAGGAAAAGGCAATCATTTTGGTAAAAGGCAATATGTGAGCATTAGCCTTACCAGCAAAGAGCAAAATGCATACATTTATCCAATTTATGAGTAAATTTACGAGGCTAAAGCTGAGCGTAGGGTTGGCCCCTGAGAAATAACGGACAACTGACACGATGGCAATCTTTCCTCTGCAATGTGTAATTGATCACATAAAGATGTATTGAGTGTGTTTTCAGAGCATATTTTTGAAGAGTGTTCTGAGGTCAACTTCATTGTGATATTTGGATCGCATTGATTATAGTCCAATGCGTTCGCCTCTCGTAACCTGTGTATGAAAGCCAAATTTCATTTCGAAAAGTC